ACAGAGTCTGTGTCGGTTGGCTGCTTTTCTCAGCGTCCTGGAAGTATTTCAGATCACACTGAGAAAGGGTTATGGCATCAGTGACCTGAGGGTAACACACCCACACATGCACTGCATTTCAATGATCTCTTTTTATTTGAAGCTTAATATGAAATATCGTGAAAAGTTTTCCCTTCTACTTCCAACCTTTTCTTCTTTCTTTGTAGAGTGATATCGCTGCACTGTACATAAAGGTGGGAGTGAAGAATACTGGCACAGTCTTCCTGCACACAGATGCCCAGATTCCTGATGCTGATCAATGACATGCTAGTAGTATCAGGTACACATTGCAAACTCCTCTCACATTTCCTTCTCCTTCCTCTCAATCCTGTCAGTAGCTCTCAGTTTGTTGGTGTTTAGATATGTTTGTTTGTGTATAGGGGATATACCTGACTTGTTCAGTGAGGAAGAGGTTGATATGATCGTCACCTCTATTCGAGTGGAGTTGAGGGCGTGACACGCGTGAAAACTGCTGGAACTTCTTCATTGATCGTATACGCAGACAGCTTAAGGTTGGCTTCCTTGTTTTGAAGACTGCATCCTAAGTATATATTATGAATAAAAATGCAAATGTCACTCTGATGTAATGCCCCTCCTGCACTGTAGGTGGTGCTGTGTTTTTCTCCGGTTGGCTTCACTCTTCGTACACATGCGCGGAAGTTTTCTGCTCTCTTGAACTGCACTGCCATTGACTGGTTCCATCCTTGGCCCCAGCATGCACTGCAGTCTGTCAGCAGCACTTTTATACAAAATATCTCTGGCCTGGAGGTAACAGAGACTAGGGACAGTGAGGAGATATGTTTTTTTAAATTAATACCTTTATTTAGCAAGGATGCATTAAATTGATAAAAAGTGGCATTTATAATTTAATTTGTAAAATTATAAATGCTGTTAATTTGAATTTATTTATTTATGTATTGAATTAATTTGTTGAACACAAAAGAAGATATTTTGAAGATTGCTGGTAATCAAACAGTTGGTGGTTGCTATTGACTTCCATAGTATTTTTTTTTCCTACTATGGAAGTCAATGGCAACCACCAACTGTTTGATTACCAGCAATCTTCAGAATATCTTCTTTTGTGTTCAACATAAGAAAGCAACTCATACAGGTTTGGAACGACATGAGAGTGAGTAAATGATGACAGAATTTTCATTTTTGGGTGAACTATCCCTTTAAGATTGGCTTTTAATTTTACATTTGCACAAAACCTTTTGATGATTAAAGAGTAAATATGGAGATATTGTTTAATTTATTTCAGATTTAGATGAAATACCTTGTTGGCATGTTGAAAATGTTTTTTGGAAAAGAAATGTGTGTTACCGGTTTCTAGGATGATCTGCCCCGGGTTAAGATCGAGATTGAGGCTATGAAGAACCTCAGTCATCAACACGTGTGTCGTCTCTACCATGTCATTGAGACGTCAAGCAAGATCTACATGGTGCTTGAGGTATGTTTCCATGAAAGTGATTCTGATGCTTAAAGAAAATGCATTATGCTTTGTATGTTTATATGCATGTATCGTGCCGCTCTCTCAGTACTGTCCTGGAGGAGAACTGTTTGATTACATCATTGCTAAAGACCGGTTATCAGAGGAAGAGACCCGAGTGTTTTTCCATCAGATCATCTCTGCGATGGCCTATGTTCATAGCCAAGGTTATGCCCACCGAGACCTCAAACCGGTGAGTTGGTTGAAAAGAGCATTTAATTTTTAAGTAGTTTAAGCATATACTGAGTTCTCCCATTTAAAGGAACAGATCACCCAGAAATGAGAACGGTTTTAAAGGAATAGTTCACCCAAAGATGAAAATTTGCTGAAAATGTACTCTCCTTCAGGCCATCCAAGATGTAGATGAGTTTGTTTCGTCATCAGAACGTCTTGTCTGAATCGGGAGAGAATGCTCAGATCGAGCACTGTTTACAACACAGTTCAAAACGAATAAGTGGGTGGATTTTGATGTGAGAGGATAACAGGAGATGGACTTTTTCACTGGAGGGAGTGTTATTATGGATTATGGACTCGTATTTTGGCCAAAAGCGAGGGTTAAAAGTTAAAATGCCCTAATGATGAATTTGTTTCTCACAAACAGACAGGTTTTCACTAAACAAGAATTTAGGACTTGGATTCGAACTGAAGTCGTGTCGATCAATTGTGAATTATTATGATGCTTTTATCAGCTGTTTGAACTCTCATTCCAAACCCATAAGGCTTTATAATGTGTAACACAAAAGAGGAATTCAGAACACTGTGCGCATTCCTCTTTCTCATTCAATTACAACAAACAGGGACTGATGCTTTAAAGGAACACTCCACTATTTTT